CATGTCCCTTCCAGGAATTCTATCAATCTACATATCGCAGGGTATTGATCAGGGACTATGCAATGATAGGGGAGATGGTTCCAGTAATCAGTCGTCATGTCTGATATTTAGAATTCGGAGAAATAAAGTTGGTAAATAAGTTAGTCTCCTGAGTCAGCAGCATTACGAACACTCTCATGGGGGGAGGGGAAGCTAATTAAAACTTGTCAGCGGTCAATCATTGACCGCTGACACCGGGTAAATGTTTAATTGGCGAAACACTAGCCGTCTTGTCGGAGTTTGCCCCACCTGGTGTATCATGGATGAGAATGACTGATTTCCTCCTTGAAACCTGGACACCCAATAAAGATCGCCCAACCCACAGGCAGTCACAGTTTATTGTGTTTGTAGCCAATTTTAGGTACCATAAACCCAAACTTCCTGCTTTGGTATTCACGATATTTATTTAGAAGACCGTTGTGGCTTTACAACAATGCATCAGTTTCAAGTTTGCAGTCTGAAGTTTTACTTTACAGGCGAGGAGCCTTAAGTGCTGATTCTTACCCCTATTTCGAGTCTGCAGTCTGTTGAGATGTTCTAACTTTGCAGAGTGGGCGGGGTTAGAGCACGCCTTGCCCGGCTCATAGCTAGACAGGCAGATAAAACACCCTGATGCCCTAAACAGGACTGTTTAATAGTCTAGCTAGACTAGCTAGACTAGGTAGAACCCCGTGTCAGACTAGCCAGTACTTGGTTAGCTGGAGGACTTCCTTTAACACTACAGTAGCTTGTTGGCGCGTGAGCTACCCACCAAAACACACTCAATTCAGCGCTGGATATCTACACGGAGGGCACTTAATCCTCATTAACACTGATTGAAGGGAGATGGGCAGCCAAAAACACTTACCTAAATCTTGTCCAGCCCCCTACCTCTGGATCCTGTCTCTCTTTCTCTCCCAGCTGCTAAAGTACGTCTATTTTACCTGGCTAGTCATCTTAGTCTACCTCTTTCTGCTTGTCTCAGGCCTTTCGAGTGAAGATTTGACCGGTTTATTTTGTTACATGTGTAATTACTTGCCCTAATTTTGCCGATCAAGAGGTTTGTTTAGCCCCACAAACTGGATTGGGACCGGCTAATATTTTGCCGCGATTACACAATATGTAACTAGTACAACTATAAGTGTTTCATCCTTGACCAGCCAATGAAACGGTCAAGAATTCGCTGACCTAATATTTTTCCAACACGACATTTCGCGATTTTTTAGAATGTTCCACTCAGGTCGAGCCCTTTTGTCTGACTCAACCCTCTCTCTCTCTCTCTCTCTCTCTCTCTCTCTCTCTCTCTCTCTCTCTCTCTCTCTCTCTCTCTCTCTCTCTCTCTCTCTCTCTCTCTCTCTCTCTCTCTCTCTCTCTCTCTCTCTCTCTCTCTCTCTCTCTCTCTCTCTCTCTCTCTCTCTCTCTCTCTCTCTCCTCTCTCTCTCTCTCTCTCTCTCTCTCTCTCTCTCTCTCTCTCTCTCTCTCTCTCTCTCTCTCTCTCTCTCTCTCTCTCTCTCTCTCTCTCTCTCTCTCTCTCTCTCTCTCTCTCTCTCTCTCTCTCTCTCTCTCTCTCTCTCTCTCTCTCTCTCTCTCTCTCTCTCTCTCTCTCTCTCTCTCTCTCTCTCTCTCTCTCTCTCTCTCTCTCTCTCTCTCTCTCTCTCTCTCTCTCTCTCTCTCTCTCTCTCTCTCTCTCTCTCTCTCTCTCTCTCTCTCTCTCTCTCTCTCTCTCTCTCTCTCTCTCTCTCTCTCTCTCTCTCTCTCTCTCTCTCTCTCTCTCTCTCTCTCTCTCTCTCTCTCTCTCTCTCTCTCTCTCTCTCTCTCTCTCTCTCTCTCTCTCTCTCTCTCTCTCTCTCTCTCTCTCTCTCTCTCTCTCTCTCTCTCTCTCTCTCTCTCTCTCTCTCTCTCTCTCTCTCTCTCTCTCTCTCTCTCTCTCTCTCTCTCTCTCTCTCTCTCTCTCTCTCTCTCTCTCTCTCTCTCTCTCTCTCTCTCTCTCTCTCTCTCTCTCTCTCTCTCTACAGGAGTGTGGACCCACTGTGCATCTCACTCTGCAGTGTAATCGTTATTTACATAAGTTAGTGTAAGATTTAGTTAGGTCGCCGGAGCGTCTAGCTGCGCTTATCACCCTCCTTTAAACTGATTAGTGGACACCCGTAATCTATACCCGGCCGTCGGAACTCCGTCCTTCCTGGGTCTTCATTGGTGGAGGAAGGTCATTTGGGCAAATTCTGAGATCTAATTGGTCGGTTCGTTTCTGTAATTGATCCCTGAACGTCGCTAACTAATTGTCATTGTTCTCGCCAGACATTGATGAATATAAACCTGGAGCCGGCGGCTTACCCTTGCCTTGTTTCAACCCTGATATTAGTACATTGTCTTGTTTCAACCCTGATACTGGTACCTTGCCTTGTTTCAACCCTGATACTGGTACCTTGCCTTGTTTCAACCCTGATACTGGTACCTTGCCTTGTTTCAACCCTGATACTGGTACCTTGCCTTGTTTCAACCCTGATATTGGTACCTTGCCTTGTTTCAACCTTGATACTGGTACCTTGCCTTGTTTCAACCCTGATACTGGTACCTTGCCTTGTTTCAACCCTGATATTGGTTCCTTGCCTTGTTTCAACCCTGATACTGGTACCTTGCCTTGTTTCAACCCTGATACTGGTACCTTGCCTTGTTTCAACCCTGATACTGGTACCTTGCCTTGTTTTCCGTTCATTTTACCAATCCGACCGGGCCATAGCCCAACGGAGCGCTACCCGCGTTACCCGCCATAGTAACTGCGTTACCCGCCATAGTAACTGCGTTACCCGCCATAGTAACCGCGTTACCCGCCATAGTAACCGCGTTACCCGCCATAGTAACCGTGTTACCCGCCACTACTTGGAGAGGTATATATACGGGGCTAGTTGGTGAGTGGGTCGGTAACAAGGCAGCCTTATGTCTACCTAAATTATCGTTCTTTGAAGGCCAATCCAGCTCACTTACCAACCTCAAGCATTGGATTCCTGATAAGATTAGTTTGCAAGGCCTATATATATCTTTCTCCTGCCTATTATACAGTGCTTTGCTTTAGATGCCAGATATCTTTATTATTTAATGATTTACCGTCAATTGATATCTTGTGATCTGACATTATTGTAGCAATCTACAGATTGGTGTCCAGAAACTTAACCCCTTTTTGTTGTCCAAGTTCCCACAATTTAAAGGATACGATTTTAACAACATTTTCCGTATTTAGGGTGTTTCGGGGTATTGTGAAATTGCAGTCAATTAGATTGAAACACATTTGTTTAATTAGATTTAGGTTTTCCGGTGGGAATGTGTAATATACGTTCTCGTATGATAAGCTTTTAAGTTTCATTCTCAGATAACCTTTTAGATTGTACAATTTCTTCTTTCTTTTATATTCCTCGTTTAGTTGTATAATGTATATTGTGAAGTATAATGTATATTGTAGAAGTATAATGTATATTGTAGAAGTATAATGTATATTGTAGAAGTATAATGTATATTGTAGAAGTATAATGTATATTGTAGAAGTATAATGTATATTGTAGAAGTATAATGTATATTGTAGAAGTATAATGTATATTGTAGAAGTATAATGTATATTGTAGAAGTATAATGTATATTGTAGAAGTATAATGTATATTGTAGAAGTATAATGTATATTGTAGAAGTATAATGTATATTGTAGAAGTATAATGTATATTGTAGAAGTATAATGTATATTGTAGAAGTATAATGTATATTGTAGAAGTATAATGTATATTGCAGAAGTATAATGTATATTGCAGAAGTATAATGTATATTGTAGAAGTATAATGAATATTGTAGAAGTATAATGTATATTGTAGAAGTATAATGTATATTGTAGAAGTATAATGTATATTGTAGAAGTATAATGTATATTGTAGAAGTATAATGTATATTGTAGAAGTATAATGTATATTGTAGAAGTATAATGTATATTTTAGAAGTATAATGTATATTGTAGAAGTATAATGTATATTGTAGAAGTATAATGTATATTGTAGAAGTATAATGTATATTGTAGAAGTATAATGTATATTGCAGAAGTATAATGTATATTGCAGAAGTATAATGTATATTGCAGAAGTATAATGTATATTGTAGAAGTATAATGTATATTGTAGAAGTATAATGTATATTGTAGAAGTATAATGTATATTGCAGAAGTATAATGTATATTGTAGAAGTATAATGTATATTGTAGAAGTATAATGTATATTGTAGAAGTATAATGTATATTGTAGAAGTATAATGTATATTGTAGAGTTGGTGTTATCTTAAGGGACTTTTGCATCTACCTGATTGGACTAATGCAAATCAGTTAACACTATTACCCTACTTAGCTTGCTTATACCTAGCTTATACCTACCTTAGCTTGCTAGATAAGCTAAGGAAATACTTCTGCACAAAATTATCATCGTATCAATTTTCCGAGAACCTCAACCAGTTACACATGATAAGCTTTTACATCATACTGATACAATTCTTTTTTATTTCCGCTCTTCAAGTTTAAGGTTTGTGGTAAATGTTATGATAAGGGGGCTGGAATTGTTTCTCGGGGACCTGTCGGGGACTAATCCAAATCATCTTACACAGTTACAGCGGGAACTCTCTCGTTAGTGCACTAGTGCACTGGCCTCCCCACCATTAGTGCACTTTTAAAGTGATTTCTCTGCCTTGTTGGCACGGCTCCTTTCTGGTATATTACTAATACAAATAGTTTTACATAATATTTGGATTACACACGCACCAGGGGTCAAGTCGCCAAATATCGTCCGAGGCTGCCGCTGGCGTGTACTCAAAGTAGGAAGATATTAGACTGTTGTCGTGAACTTGCCCTATCGCATTCCATTGCTTACAGGAAAAATTATCATTTTCCATCCGTTTTTCTCATTTTAAACACAAGGAAATATTTTGTAAAGTCATAATCATCTAACTATTTCCTCATTAGAACAGGTTACAATGTATTAATGTAAAGATGACATCAGAGGACGTAAGGTGAAACAAACGCACGCAATATGGTTTTTATAGCAGTACTTTTATTCCATTATTTGTCACGTACTGAGGCGTCAGAGGAACAAGAACTGTTCAAGCGTCTTGGAATACCTGGTCAGTAAGTCTTTAAATTAATTAATTTTTAATTAGTAGTGATTTGAATTAAATTGATTAAATTTTGGTTTGGTTAAACTGTGTTTTTATTAATTTACTTGCGATTTGAATTATTATATTGCATATATTTTTATCTTGTAAGGCATTAGTACCAATTTTACATTTAGGGTTATCTGTTTTTTGTTACTCTGACAGTGCTCTAATGTTTTTGTTTTTAACCTAGTGGCCCTTCGCTTTCTTCTATGGCTTCGATTTCTAAGCTCAAAGAGAATTTTAAAATTGTAAAGGAAGAAAACGTCACAATTTGTCCTACATATTTATTCTGTATTAAAACTCACTTCTTACAGGACCGCCAAGAGAAGAAGGAAAGCGACGAGACCCACCCTCCTTCATGATGGAACTGTTCCGACAGCACAACAGAGTCTTAGGCCACGGTATGGCTACCAGCATTTCCAGCTTTGATGCTTTAGATACCAGTAAGTACAAGATCTGTCACATTTGCTATCTTCTCATATTTGGTTACTGGTTACTAGGTTACATGCCGCCGGTTACTAGGTTACATGCAGCCGGTTACTAGATTACATGCCGCTGGTTACTAGGTTACATGCCGCCGGTTACTAGGTTACATGCCGCCGGTTACCAGGTTACATGCAGCCGGTTACTAGGTTACATGCCGCCGGTTACTAGGTTACATGCAGCCGGTTACTAGATTACATGCAGCCGGTTACTAGGTTACACAAGACGCGGGTTCGGTTCTAATCCGATTATTCTTCACCGGCGGGGAAGCACTTTATCTCTCTAAGTATGCTTGTAGGATGGCACGGAGTATCATCCACTGTGGCAGGTAAACCCCTACACAGCTGATCTGCACTAAATAGGGGTGTCTGGAACTCAGAAACAGCTGATAGGCATCGCGCCAGGCCGCACAAAATCAGAAAAATGTTAAGTGTTTGAGCCCAAGCCCTTTGTCCTGGCTAACCCTTCGTTAGATCAGATCACTCAACAGTGGGCACTTTGTCAGAGAACTGGACAGTTAACAATCTTTATTACCTCAGATCAGAGCCACGAGGTCAGTAAAGACAGGTGGAGTTTTGAGTTCTCCGTGGCTGATCTAGACCCTCGGGAGCGAGTGACAGAGGCCCACGTAAGGGTATACAAAGCCAAGGGCAGCAAGCAAAAAGAGGTAATGTTTAACCCTTTGTCGGCTATTTAGAGGTTGGGGATTTTTCTTCCGGAAGGATCTGATCACGAAAGAAGTTGTCATGGGCCCAGGGGGTGGCAGTTTAGTCTGACTGTACTGATGAGCGGATTTAACCTAAAGTATATTTATACTATAAATAAACTTTAGGTTAAATCTACTCATCAGTATTTTGTGGTTTGGATAAAATTATCACACTTAGCTAAGCTATCATTTACACTAGCCTTTATAACGTTATGGGTAATAACATAACGACCTTTCAGACCCCTTACCGTGTGAACGTGTTCCATGTTTTGGACAGAGAGCGGGCGCTGGACTCTTCAGTCAACGACTATTATCTCATCAGTCCTTTCAACTCATCCCTCGTCGTCAGATTACTAGACACTCAGGTACGAGTCCTATACCCGTTAAGATTACTAGACACTCAGGTACGAGTCCTATATCCGTTAAGATTACTAGACACTCAGGTACGAGTCCTATACCCGTTAAGATTACTAGACACTCGGGTACGAGTCCTATACACGTTAAGATTACTAGACATTCAGGTACGAGTCCTATAACCGTTAAGATTACTAGACATTCAGGTACGAGTCCTATAACCGTTAAGATTACTAGACACTCGGGTACGAGTCCTATACCCGTTAAGATTACTAGACACTCAGGTACGAGTCCTATACCCGTTAAGATTACTAGACACTCAGGTACGAGTCCTATACCCGTTAAGATTACTAAACACTCAGGTACGAGTCCTATAACCGTTAAGATTATTAGACACTCAGGTACGAGTCCTATAACCGTTAAGATTACTAGACATTCAGGTACGAGTCCTATAACCGTTAAGATTACTAGACATTCAGGTACGAGTCCTATAACCGTTAAGATTACTAGACACTCAGGTACGAGTCCTATACCCGTTAAGATTACTAAACACTCAGGTACGAGTCCTATACCCGTTAAGATTACTAGACACTCAGGTACGAGTCCTATACTGAGTATACCTGTTAAGATTACTAGACACTCAGGTACGAGTCCTATACCCGTTAAGATTACTAGACACTCAGGTACGAGTCCTATACACGTTAAGATTACTAGACATTCAGGTACGAGTCTTATACCCGTTAAGATTATTAGACATTCAGGTACGAGTCCTATACCCGTTAAGATTACTAGACACTCAGGTACGAGTCCTATACCCGTTAAGATTACTAGACACTCAGGTACGAGTCCTATACCCGTTAAGATTACTAGACACTCAGGTGCGAGTCCTATACTGAGTATACCTGTTAAGATTACTAGACACTCAGGTACGAGTCCTATACCCGTTAAGATTACTAGACACTCAGGTACGAGTCCTATACACGTTAAGATTACTAGACATTCAGGTACGAGTCCTATAACCGTTAAGATTACTAGACATTCAGGTACGAGTCCTAAAACCGTTAAGATTACTAGACACTCAGGTACGAGTCCTATACCCGTTAAGATTACTAAACACTCAGGTACGAGTCTTATAACCGGTAAGATTACTAGACATTCAGGTACGAGTCCTATACCCGTTAAGATTACTAGACACTCAGGTACGAGTCCTATACTGAGTATACCTGTGAAGATTACTAGACACTCAGGTACGAGTCCTATACCCGTTAAGATTGCTAGACACTCAGGTACGAGTCCTATACACGTTAAGATTACTAGACATTCAGGTACGAGTCTTATACCCGTTAAGATTACTAGACATTCAGGTACGAGTCCTATACCCGTTAAGATTACTAGACACTCAGGTACGAGTCCTATACCCGTTAAGATTACTAGACACTCAGGTACGAGTCCTATACCCGTTAAGATTACTAGACACTCAGGTACGAGTCCTATACTGAGTATACCTGTTAAGATTACTAGACACTCAGGTACGAGTCCTATACACGTTAAGATTACTAGACATTCAGGTACGAGTCTTATACCCGTTAAGATTACTAGACATTCAGGTACGAGTCCTATACCCGTTAAGATTACTAGACACTCAGGTACGAGTCCTATACCCGTTAAGAGCACCTCATCGTTACGAGCACCAGTGCATTTAGATTAAAAATTGACATTCTTTCTAGAAGAAAATTCTGTAGAACAGGTATTTAGTTCCTGTCATAAAACTATATTTATTTTTGTGGGATATTTAGGCCTTGACCAACACTGATCGGTTTTCTATAATGTTCTGTGTTCTAAAAAGGTGGATTGTTTAGACCCTTAATAAGCAAAGTTCAGAAGTGATTAGTCCCCAAGTGCCCAATTAATGGTGCAGATCCTGCAACATACTCACCGTTACCGTTACTGTTAAACCTGTAGTCACCCTGGTAAACACTATTCCGGGCTAGGTGCTATTAATAGAAGTAACCAGTAACAGGCGCATAGTGGTACGAGGGAGAAGTTTCCTGGGACCCACCGGTTGACAGGACATCAACAACCATTCAATCAAAATATCGAGCACTCTTTATACCCTAGCAAATTAGACTGGTACCGGGTCGTGCAGTCTAGAAAAGTACAGGAATCCTGTGGTTCTCATTAAATTAACAGCTAATTAATCAGTGATTTTATCTGTGAGTTAATAACGAAACTCCCCCAGATATTAGAGTCCCGGCAGTCTCATTGGGTGTCATTCAACGTTGCAGAGGCGGTTAAAGCCCTACAAGAACTGGGAGTGCATAACGCCAGGTTCGAGATTGCCTGCACTCCTATCAACCCGATAGACATGGCCCAGTCCTCCCGGGGCATCAGATTCACCAAATCTAGAGGAAAACTGGTTAGTACTGACTCGTAATGGAAATGTTGTCATACGTTGAGTATGTTAATTCAATATCGCTTAAAGATATTGGAATATTACAACTGTGCTTGGAATTTGGAAGTCTGAAATCAGGAATATTACAATTGTGCTTGGAATTTGGAAGTCTGAAATCAGGAATATTAAAGATGAGATCGGAATTTCAAATATTCATAAGACGTGCAGTTTTTAACAAATTGTAAGGGAACTAGGAGAGGCGTACATATGAGGTCACGGCTAATTCCGCGAGGTCACAAGATAGATTTTACGAGGATTACATTGAAATTTGAATTTTGGCTCGGCTCAATAGACTCGAATGCTATTGGCGTGGGTGACGTACGTTGTTTTGACAACCTTTTGCGATTTTTATTGGTCTCATTTCCATTTTACAAGCAGGTGTATCAAACACTGTCTGTTTTCTGAGCTAAAATGTCACCTTGTTGTCCGGAAGTTACGTACTGCCCGGACAACATGTAGACAACAAGCCTGTAAACAATCTTTCTGTCTCCAGAAATCATATTACCAAAACACGTGCAACACGTCTGGTTATTGAAATGTAGAGTGGACGATTTTGACCACGTGATTTGACGATATCTTTGTGTTTTCAGCCCTCTCTTGTTGTGTTCACTGACGATGGGCGCAATGTAGTGGAGGAAGACAGGGACACTAGGAACTCTAGTCCATCTATAGACAGTATTGACTATGATCCCTCGCAGTCGCATTGTCAGAGAAAAGAGCTCTTCATCGACTTCAGGTAACATTATTGACAGTAAACCTCTTCTAAGAAAGTTAGTTGTGAATCCTTAGGAACCTCAAGCTCGCAGCTATCTACCTGATGTTACAGCCATTTAACCACTAGACCAACATATACTGTATTCTTAACGTGTTTGTATTTCAGTCGTCTAGGCTGGAATTGGATTATAGGACCACCAGGTTTCGACGCGTTCATGTGTTCTGGAGAGTGTACCCTCACGTTTAACAGCAGACTGCAGATCACCAACCATGCGTATCTTCAGGTCGGTTCCTAGAATCAATATCATTTCTATGATATGTTTGTTAAAATGCCAATGGGGCCAAATCAAATTATTGCTTGATTTGGCTCCAAATATTGCTTGGATAAAATAATCGCTCTGCCATTAACACGTCATGTTTATCATAAATTAATCATCGCAACGCTCCGTGATTTAATGTAACTAGCAGGAACCCGTCGAACCCTATAGTGGTGTTAAGACTCAAGAGACTAAAATAATTATTATCTATTTAATTCGTGTTTTTGACACCACTTGGGGGTCCAAATTTTGGGCACTCAAATTTTTATTCTTTGGCCAATTTCTCTATTTTTTCATGCTGTTTTGAAAGCCATTAAAGCATTTGAACCAGTCAAAAAAAGTTTAAGTTGTGTATCATTTACAGTTTTTGCGGAAAGTCGTGTTAAAGTTGATGCCGTGATGTCAGTAAAATGGTTCAAATATATATACATATCGTCTCGCTTTATATATAGTAAGATTGAATTGTAATTGTAAACTCTTACAGGCTTTCCTGGAGTCAAAGCACAAAAACATCCCCAAACCGTGCTGTTCCCCCATGAAACTGAGCCCCATGACACTGATATACTACACTGAGAACGGAATTAAGATGAAGGAGTACGACGAAATGAGGGTATGTTCCGTCTTGCTTTTATTAAGGTCATACAAGGTTCTACAATGGTCTACAAGGTCCTACAAGGTCCTAAAAAGTCCTACAAGGTCCTACAAGGTTCTACAAGGTCCTACAATTGGTCATACAATTGGTCCTACAATTAGTCCTACAAGGTCCTACAAGGTCCTACAAGGTCCTACAAGATCCTACAAGGTCCTACAAGATCTTACAAGGTCCTAAAAGGTCATACAAGGTCCTAAAAGGTCTTACAAGATCCTACAAGGTCATACAAAGATACAAGGTTATACCTATTTAAGGTCCTACAAGCCAATCCCAATAAAGAGGGAGGGTCCTGTATCTCGATGTCAAATTTGTGTAGGATTATCGTTTTATGAAGTACTCTAATCATTTGGAGTACTAGGGCTGGGGATGTGCTACTGCCGTCGGGATTTGCTTCCCCTTTTTTTCGTAGACATTTATTTTTATCTATGGTAGTGCAATTTCTAAACAGTAAAGTCATAGCCAAAATTTACGAATACTATACTGTCCAACATTGCTCTGGCGGCATTGCCATTTATGGCTAGCCTTTAGCAACTATCTACTGAAGAGCCTATAAAATACAAAATCCACAAATCAGGCAGTGACTCACAAAGTCGGAGAAATAAAAGAGCCACTCGACTGACATTCATAATTTTCAGGTGGAACAATGTGGATGTGAATGAAAAGACTACTAAATACACGTTGTCATGGTTACTACGATTAGGAAGACACTGCGCACAAACTAGTGAACTTTAACCCCACTTCCAACAAATTACCACGAAGAAGTACAGTTTCACTGCAAAGATACTCCGCAAGCAATCCAGCTCCTAACTCCTGGAATTCCTCAGAGAAGCAGCGAAACTCACGGCTGATCGGATGTAAATACGAATATGAATTGAATGAAATTATTATTTCACTGTATTATATATAATTTAAATTTCCTTTGAGTTTATGTAATAGCCAATTAATAAAATGTGTGCTATTTGATGCAAGAGACCAGATTTTTAAGCATTTTAATTATTCAACATGATTCAGACGTCATCTCTTACCAAAGAAATCTCTCCAGTACCCGGCCTTATACCCTTAGCTAATGACTAATTATGCAAATTATCCTAATGAATAATTATGCACTTTATGACTGGGTTTAGGTGAAGGTTTTACCATAAATCTAAAACTATGCTGGGAATTTGATCGATCGGTAGAAAAATGAAAAAATTGTTAGCTGAAATATGTCCAAAGAGAAAGGTTAAACATTTTCAAAATGGAATATTTCCTAAGATGAGAATTTTTTAAAGATACAAATATTTTCTAAGACTAAAAGGTTTTTAAGACAAAAATATGTCCTAAAAATGAAACGCTTTTTAACCTTAGTATAGTATTATTTAATTCCCAATGTAAGCAATATCGTTTAATGTTTAAAAATGTTTATAAGATGATATAACATTCCCAAAATAGCTTATTTCACGTTTTAGTTAACTTATTTTATAGACTAATGACCAATGTTGGTACAGACTCCTTCGAATGGTCGTTATTTATTACGTTTATAATGAGGAATCTTTACAGTTTGTACCAAGAAAATCAAAACCGAATATTAACGTTCGCTTTAGAAAAATTAAGAAGTCTATGATGTCTGCAAAATAATATCATCATCATTACCACGAACATAGTTACTGAGTTTTTTGCTCAATGAAACGCGAGATTGCCGGAATTTAATGTATGTTAGAGTTAGGACGATTTTCTAGCTGAGATACTTTAAAATATGGTAGTTTGTAGGTTATAAATATCTTTTTGTAACTTCACATTAACGGAGATCTGTCTTCGTTGTAGAAGAATTGAGGTTAATTTTGATGTTAATTTGTAATTTCTTCTGTGATATACCTTTGTGGTTATTGGTAATATGAATATAAATTATAAACTCACGAGGTCTCATTTTGTTCACCCCAACAATTTTAATCAGATTAATGGAATTGTGAGTGGGTTATTGGAAAATGGTAATGGTGTATAATATCACTTAATTGAGTTATTCTACTGTGGATGACCCTTATTTGGGCCCGACCTTTATTTGGGCACGAACCTTATTTGAGTACGACCCTTATTTGGGTACGACTTTATTTGTGGACGGCCCTTATTTGGGCACAAACCTTATTTGAGTACGACCCTTATTTGGGTACGACCCTTATTTGTGGACGACCCTTATTTGGGCACAAACCTTATTTGGGCACGACCCTTATTTGGGCACGACCTTTATTTGTGTAAATAAAAGTAAATAAATAAAAGTAAGTAAATAAAAGTAAGCAAATAAAAGTAAGTAAATAAAAGTAAGTAAATAAAAGTAAGTAAATAAAAGTAAGTAAATAAAAGTAAGTGAATAAAAGTAAGTAAATAAAAGTAAGTAAATAAAAGTAAGTAAATAAAAGGTAATAAAAGCCAGCTTTCCTTATCAGCAGATCGCTAAAACTTCTTTTTAAAATGTTAATTACGGTGAAGGAATCTAAATCTGGAAGCTTAAACTTGGCCGCTGTATTGTATTGGTGGTATTTATTGCAATTTTTTGTGTTGATTGCGCTGAGACAATCTGCAAGCTTGAAATTGGCCGCTTATTGCCTTTACGCTTTATGGAGCACAAAATTTGAATGAGGAGACGCGACTGACAATGATCGTGATTTGTAGAAAGTTGACTTTATGAAACTAGCGTGAGACACTTTATATCTGAGCAATCTACCCGGCGCTGCTCATTACCATTATAGCATTATCGAGACTGATCGTTTTGCCAAATTATATGCCTGTAGTTCTCTATCTCTCTAACTGAATTTCCCCCGGCCCCCTGGCCTTAGGCTTAATGTGATGATCGCGGTCATTTCAATAATAATTGGGTTCTGGCAAATAGGTAAAATACCGACCTGCTGTTGTTACGCTAATAGCCCTCTAATAGTCCTCTAACAGCACTCTAACTCTCTAATAGCCCTCTAACAGCTGCTTAATAGCCATAAAAAACACAAGTAAGCGCTGGCAGCTGGCTAGGGGGCTGTTAGAGGGCTGTTAGAGGGCTGTTAGAAGACTGTTAGAGTCTGTTAGAGGGCTGTTAAAGGGCTGTTAGAGGGCTGTTAGAGGGCTGTTAGAGGGCTGTTAGAGGGCTGTTAGAGGACTGTTAGAGGGCTGTTAGAGAGTTGTTAGAGAGCTGTTAGAGGACTGTTAGAGGGCTGTTAGAAGGCTGTTAGAGGGCTGTTAGAGGACTGTTAAAGGGCTGTTAGAGGGCTGTTAGAGGACTGTTAGAGGGCTGTTAGAGGGCTGTTAGAGGGCTGTTAGAGGGCTGTTAGAGGACTGTTAGAGGGCTGTTAGAGGGCTGTAGGAGGACTGTTAGAGGGCTGTTAGAGGGCTGTAGGAGGACTGTTAGAGGGCTGTTAGAGGGCTGTTAGTGGGCTGTTAGAGGACTGTTAGAGGCTGTTAGAGGGCTGTTAGAGGGCTGTTAGAGGGCTGTTAGAGGGCTGTTAGAGGGCTGTTAGAGGGCTGTTAGAGGGCTGTTAGAGGGCTGTTAGAGGGCTGTTAGAGGGCTGTTAGAGGACTGTTAGAGGACTGTTAGAGGGCTGTTAGAGGGCTGTCAGAGATGTTAGAGGGCTGTTAGAGGGCTGTAGAGGCTGTTAGAGGGCTGTTAGAGGCTGCTAGAGGGCTGTTAGAGGGCTGTTAGAGGGCTGTTAGAGGGCTGTTAGAGGGCTGTTAGAGGGCTGTTAGAGGGGCTGTTAGAGGGCTGTTAGAGGACTGTTAGAGGACTGTTAGAGGGCTGTTAGAGGGCTGTCAGAGAGCTGTTGGTGTTAGCGTAACAGCTCTCTAACAACCGTTCGGCACCTATTTGCCTGGGGTTCGTGACCACGGAACTCTAATCAGGAGCCCAAGATGATAAATGTCACCAAACCTCATATTATCACGATTCATTATGGCCAACTTCAACAGTAGAAAGTTATGCCCTTTGATTTGTGATGGAACAAACTTTTGTGGGTTAAGGGTCCTATAGACTTTAACCTAAGTTCGGAAACATTTTTTACAGATTGCAGATGCAATTCCAGCTAAACATCTCTCAATATGTTCCGTATGTGCACTAAGTTCAGTATGTGCAGTGTGCACTATGTTATTTGATCATCATGACGAACATTTACCATTAATTTTGTTTCTTTGTTTCTTTCCTTTAAAAAGAACGTAAAACCTAACTAAAACCTCAATGTTTAAATAATAAACTCATTTCTGTGCGTTTCATACTACTCATGATCTTATGCCCCGCTATTTAACTAGTTAATTACTTGTGGAGCTACTTCTGAGCAGAACATATAATTATTTAAACGGTTAAATTTACGTCTAATTAAAAATTATAAATTACTTAAGATATTCCACATTTCCGCACACTACGTCCCCTAATTGGTCCTCATATTAACTTATTTAACGTATTTAACTTATTTAATTATGCCTTTAATATCCCATTGAACCAACCCAGCATTAACTCTTATTCCTCCATACTTCGATCCTACATATTATGCACATACGGCTAAATAATGCAATTATCGTGTTACGGCGCACAATGTTCAAGTATTCAACATAGATAGTGGTAAATACGGACTGACGGACTCGGTCTGATGTATAAATGGTCGATATTATGTGCATTGTAAAACTATATTATGTGCATTTTATAACTATTGATAGTGCCAAGTATACAGTGGGTATAAATAAGGTACTGACCAGTAATGCACGTGGTTGTCATGTACTTAAACTTACCTACCTATGTTCCTATGTTTATTTATAATTGAATTTCTTGTTTGTTAAGCTCGCTTTGATAATCAGTTGCAGATGCCATTATCTTCTGTTATCCTGACAATTTTGTTATACAGTCCATTATAGAACTTCAAATACATTTCTGCAGATACCCTTATTCTATAGTCTGTAGTACAATGTACATTATACATTAGTCTGTAGTCGATATACTTCCTCTCATAGAGCCCAAAGTTTGTCGGCTTGCGAGAATGACAAAGCCTGAAATATATACCGATAAGTGAGCTTGATTAAATTGGTTGCTAGTGTGCTTAACACGAGTCACATGACTTGACACGTGTCACGTGTTTATATCGAATATTCTCGATATCATTTGCGCTATATTATCATATTATTATGGTCTATGATATTGATAGTGGCACTGGCATGCTCTGCAAAGTGGACTTCATCTTGCTGCTTTCATATATTTGAGTTTGACACTAGAGTATAGGTTGCTATAGGACTGATCTATAACTTGCCGTTTTAGTTTTGCTTAGGATCGTTTTATTGCCATGTGATCAAATTATAGTGGTTCATGACTACAACTCCGCTATAAGTAGTCAAACTTTGCCGATATTATCAGTTGTTAAATTTAATATATTTCAATGGTAAAAACATTTAAGTTAGTCAATAGTCATGTCATTTCATGTAGCGATTAAAATTACTTCAGTTACAATACTAACGATACCAATCCTCCACGACTTTCACGAATAAATAATAATCTGAGAGCTAGAGAGTGAAAATTTCTTCTGGAAATTTACAAATTTACAAATTTTGTTCTTTCCACGCCCAGATGAGGGTTATTAAATCGAGAATAATACAAATTTCGTGCTCTAGCTCTAGCGAACCCGGATACCAATTAAAGATTTACTGTTCAAATACACTTCTTACCAAGGAATAAAAGCAGTACTTAGGAGCTTAGGGCTGGAATAATGGCTCCAGCACACTATAATGAGTTATTTGAGCCACTTAAAATTGAAATAAGTGGTTGGTGGCGCGAACCAGTGCCACGTGGATTTCAGTGTCAGGACAGATTTGTGAAGCCTGGATACCATTACCATTACCAGTCGGCAGTTAGGCTGACCTTGTCGATTGATCTGCTTTAGAATTGAACTTGAATTTGAATCTCGGCGAGCGTACACAAACAGTTCACGGAACTGTTCCATCCTGCAACTATTTTTTCACAATCTGAGGAGAAAGAATGTCGCCACGGAAACAATGTTCCCAGGAAGAACCTCATGCTTGCAGTAGACCTATATTGAATATTCAAATTAGAAAGAATCTCGGCGGTTGTACGACCTTGTAAAACTCTTTTAATGATTACTTCGTCGCGAAGTAAAGAAGTTAAAGAAATAGAGCTAGAGGGTCTACTACAGTCAAACAACTCAACTTGGGTATACAGTAGAGTATAGGTATAATAGTATTAGTAAAACGTATTTGCAGAGCTGTTCCACGCTGTAAAGCAGGTGGTTTTATATTGTTTATCTGAAACAAAGCAATCTTAGTCTAACTTTACCTACTTATCTTTAATAAAGATAAGTAGGCACAGATTCTTTTTCTACCTATTTAATTGGCATTTAAACGTTTTAGTCTTAAGTCTACCGGACTGGGTTATTATAACGGGGAGGTGAGTCTTATTTCCATTATAAAAGCTATAATATCTCGTGGAATGTCAGTAAGCTTTTTACTGGTTTTTAGAGCTGAGCACAATATGTTTTTATTTTTAAAATGTTTTTTACATTTTTTATGTTTTCTTATGTTTTTATGTTTTTATTTCTTCATATACACATATGTTTCTTCAGGAAGTCGTGCATAAACGTTATCGTTTTGAACATGCTACAAATTGCTTTAGATGCTCTTTCATGGGCGGTACTTATTAAATATTTCCCATCACGGCTTGCAATTTTATAAATCATAAAATATAGCTGATCATTGTTCCTGTTCCTTCATTTGCTGTAGTGGTTCTGAAATCTAAATTAAGTTACCATCATGCTTATAGCGAAGTTATCAGACCATTATACTTACTTTACTTCGGGTAATCCTCGATTGAAATCCCGTTCACTATCTTCCTCCAAACTTCTCGATCGCACATGGCAGCACGGCCGAGATTGTCTA